CTTTTTCTCTCCATTATCGATCGCAGCATGTCTTAATCGTCCTGGTTTTCGTTTCTCTTTTTGTCCTTTTACCACCTGTTCTGAATCAATTGCAAACTTAAAGAGCGATAATAACCAACTCAAAACCTAAGTTTCCACGCTGACGGAGGAGATATCAAGACTGAAAGATCTGGTCCTTAGTTGTTTTATATATTATCCTGGTCTCTCTTCTTAAGACCAATTTTAAAAAATGTTTCTCGTCCCGCTATAGAACTCAATATTTAGTAAAAGCTTGGTTTTTTGGAATGTAAGGCCTGTTACGCAGGATTGAAGAATAAGTAGAATAATTGGTGTTGAAAGTAACGCATGCGCATGTTAGGTTTTGTTCGTTCCAACTTTTCCCGGGCAGTGACAAATAATACAAAATATAATGCAAAAAGAGAGGGAACCCACAAAATAAATAAATACGGTTTCGGTGAGCAGAGTCATTGGTTTCGTGTGGACAGATGGCCGATTCGGGCAAAAAAATATGCGGTTTCAAAGGAGATTCGTGTGGGCGTAGCCTGAGTCATTAACTATTTACAACCAACGTACCTGCGTCTTTGAATAGTTTTGAGGGTTTTTTTTACGCAAAAGTTAACCCGCTTATTTCTTGATATTTAAGCAACGGATGTGCTTGTGTATGTTTTTAGATATCTAAATAGATGTGTAGCCCACACTCTCCCTGTTAAGGGTTTAAGCGACTAGGAAGTGAGCTTTTTGTTTTTCAGACGATATGAATGCCGTGCTATTGGCGCGTCGAACTCAATAAATTACGAAACTACATACGTTTAGAATTTGTATTCTAATGCGCATGCGTTAATTGGCAGCGGGATATTGAACGAGAGTGCGAAACATTGGCTGCAGAAATAGAAAAGAACCCTGAGTGAGTACAGGTTGTTGTTTCATGAATTTTCTGATGAAGAGCGAGTGTCAAACGCTCTCTACCCAGTATAGATTGCGAGCCTGCTCTTATATAATAGTAATCATCTCTACCAAGACGATGGAGACAAATTCTTTTGTCTCTTATCGGCAGAAATAAGATTTCACATCACGTTCAAAATAAAGTTTCATACCACCTAAACTGGAACGTAAGGCTTTTCTGAATCTTTCCTTACTGAAAGAGTTCCCAAAGTTAATTATTTCACCATCCCTCATGGTGAAATAACTGCGGCAGGATCGTCTTTTTTATCATTTCATAAAGGAGAATTTCTAAATTACTTTGGAAATTTACCTTCTTGTACGCTGAACAACAGTTTTGCCTTTATGTGTTATTTGGCGCGACTGAATTAAGTCAGTGGAGGTTTGAAGCAATTGCCGAATCATCGTAGCGTTAATTACCCGCTCTCCTTATCTCAATTAAGTTCAGTATGGCAGCAGGGAAAAGTTTGGAACAGGTCTTTAGAACTTTTAGACTGTATACACAGGAAACAGGACTTGGTCTTCCTTAACTCGAAACAGCACCGACTGGAGTCCTTTATAATTCATTTCCCAAGTCCAGTGACTACAGTTATCACTTTGAAGGCGGTGCAACCAGATGTCATTTGTCAGGTGGCTTATCAGGCCACTCAGGGTTAGCAAGGTTTTTGAGTGACGTTTTTGATAGTTTCAGGGTACTACACGCCCTACGATCAGAGATTTTCTGAAATGAATTAATGCACCTATTGAGAGAGTCAGTTTGCCATTCAGTCAGGCTTTGCCCAATGACTCACGTTATAGATACCGGAGAAAAAGGTGCGTACCAATGCATTCAGTTGTTCTTATATATAGTTATAGTTTCAGTTTTAGTTTTCTGAGACAGATTTCAATTTAACAGAAATATTTTAATACGAAAAAGAAAAAGACGGTTCTATTCAGTTAAGCTGTCTCGGCTGATTCCCTAGAACTACTACAACAAGAACATCACCTTTAATTTATTCAAACATATTTCACAAAGCGAGGCAGCAAAATAAGGATAAATGTAAGTGGAAGCAGACGAGTAGTCCCAATAAAGTTTGAAGTGAATATTAGTTTCAGTTCTCGTCATGTACGACACACCGACTTTCCTAAGGCGCGTACCTTGGCTCCATGATTTTACCGCGCAAACTGTGCAAAAACTTGCAAGGTTCAGCTTTTCACACGAGTCCTTGTAAACGTGGAACCATACCGGTCAGAAATTTTGAGATACTTCTGATCAGCTCAAAAACTTGCACACTTTGCTTTTTAAAAACCTCTTTTCTAATTATTATGTTTTCTTGATGTTTGTGCTTCAGATGGCTCGTGGCGCTGTTGTTATTGCTTTTCTGGCGATTTGCCAAGTAAACACGATTGCTTCTGTTCGTAGAAACATTCCGGTACCGAATTACGATATCATACATGTACATGTCTATAATTTAACTTTCAAGACAAAGATGTTCTGGCGCACTTAGCGGGGTAACAGAGACTTTGGTCCAAGCTGGACAAATATATTTTAGCGCCTTAAACATAAGAAGGGAAAGGCCAGGGAACACTGAAGTCTGAGTCAGCTCCCCATGTAACAGTTAGCCTGCGAGCAAGCTCTCCATTTGGGGGAGTCGCGAAAAGTCACGAGAGAGCAACACGTGAAAGGAGACGTCATAAATGCGGCTGTTGTGTTTTATTTCACAGACAAGAATGTCTCCCATCTAGAACTTTCCCTAATGCATTGTGGGTCATCAGTAAAGAAAGAAAAGGCTCAAAACAAGTCTGAGTATACTTTCTACTTAACCAACTTACTTACGCCCAGACCAAACGCCGATTCTTTTAATGAGACGACCCAAACTGCAATTTGACACTAAAGCATTCCCCGAGGATATCCACTTAAAAGAGGTTTCAGTGCACCTCGTCCATTAATGAACATCCCGTACTTTTTAATTTTCATAGAAAAACGTCTAATAGCATTTTAACCCCCGTTTGAGCTAAAAGTAATGTTTGAATGTTGTAACAGGGAGTACAGTGGCATGTTGGTACGCCTGGGCAGGAATGTAGCGCAAAAAATAGATGTAATCCCCATTCAGAATGGTAAGTAAGCTGCTTTCATTTATGATCAACCTTTTGCATACATGCAAGCTTATTGCCAGCTTAATTGTAGGCTAATTAATGTGTCTGTTAAAAGTCTTATTAATTCATTCCAAAGAGCACAAATATCAAGGGCCGCATATACGACCAAAACAAAGAACAAGCACCGTTCCCCAACATAGGCACCGACTCCTTCCAGCAAAAATGCGGGACTTCTTGATTTTCTCTGGTTTTTTATTGGATTTCTTAAATCTGATACGACCAATTTTAAGGGGACATACAACCCTAAACCTAGTAACAATAAATAAGTGAATGAATATTTCACGGTGGCGAAAACACAGTTGTAATAGGGCAATTCACTTAATATCTTCCGGCAGTTGTTTATAACATTCTTTGTTTAATCGAGATTATAAGAAAACTTCGAAGTCTAATTGAGACAAAGTATTGAACTAGCTGTTGGACTACTGCAATAATAACGGTTATGATAGTGAAATGACTGTAAAAGCAAGGGAAGAAAAGTTGGGTGTCTGATGATCTCACTAGTCTGACAATCTGGTCCGAATAAGCTTCGTTGTCTTTTTCCAGCCCAAAAGATTTTCCCGACACCTGCTCTAACGAAAAACAGACTCCACGAACAGGGAAATAAGGAATCCTGCGAATACTTGAGTTAGATTCTAAAACCTCTGGCCGTCACAACTCTGTTAGAGCCAATTTCATTCTCATTTAGGCTGGACTACATGGCTATCTTCCAAGGGCAGTTATAAGAAGGATGTTTTTGCGCTAAAATGTGTCTCAATAAGAATTTTTTAACACTTGTCTAAGTTGTGTTAAGGCACAAGGATATATTTCTTAAAGTGAATTTGGGAATGTGTATTAGCTTCGTGGTCATAAAGCACAAACCGTTTATATAAATAGGTCAGTTTTTTTTTCCTTTTTTGCAGCATAAATGGCTGGTGTATCTCAAAACGATGGAGATGGTGAGTGTGAGTAGTAAAGGGGGTCGGCTTAGCGCACGACCAATCAGACAGCAGCATTTAGGTTACGTGACTTTTGGGTTCTACGTCATGTAGGAAACACGAATGGACCCTGGTAACCCCTAAGTGAGAGCTGATTTTTCGTTTGAGCGCCCCTACAAGCTGTGGGTTTCTAAGTCCCCCGCGCGGTCAAAAATGGAGTCCACAGAGAGGATTGTTCATTGCACACATGTTTATTGTATTTTGTACTCACTCGATGGTTAGCAAAAAAATAAGATGTTCGAGTATGAATATGGTGAAGCGTCTAGGGTAGCTAGACAATCACAGTCAGGATGTCCAAGACCTAGCAAAAGTCAACATGTCTTCAGAGGACTTGCCGTGAGAGTTGGATTTGAGATGGAAAAGCAAGATGAAGTTCATGGAGTTTGGAAAGGTCCCTGTTATACAGTGACTGTCATATATGATTCCCCATTAAGGAATTGATCTATCTGAATCGCTGTCCAGAAGGGTTTCCACAAGGTTACCGTCTTCGGCGGTCCATGGTACGCACAGAAAACCATAAGGGCATGTCTGGAAGGTATCGTGATCGACCACTCTCTTGTCTGCCACGATTTTGTATCTTTTTATTTCAATTAGGGTCAGCAGCTGTTTGGAATGAGCGTCTCGCGTAATTTTATGAGAGTTGAAGATAGGAATAGAGCGTGGCTTATCTTGAGGAAGGCGAATTTCATCAAGAACGTTCTGTTTGAGAAGATCAAAGTTCAGTTGCTCTTTGCCACGGACATTGAGACTAAATCCACGGACTTTGCATTCGACTTTGCCTTGACGCGTTCGGTAGCCGTAATTCTGGGGTCCAGCGGCAGCAAATTCGACGATGGTGTCCTTCTCGGTCAATTCGTCTTTGAATTGGCCTAAGTAGGAGACGGTAGGAAGCTCTGGAAGACCTGCAGAACGCTTGTAAATAGTGCTGCCGTGTCCATGTAGAGCACCTGTTCAGGCTTCATGAGGGAAAGGCCTTGTTGACATGAGACGGGCTTGACGGGTCGTGAACCAGGCAAAAAAGATGTTGATATGGGGTTGGATGGCACCAGCTTCTTGTATGTGATTATTGACTACTCCCAACATTTCTGGGTTGACCACTCTCACACGAAGGATCAGCAGTTCGTCGTTATTTAGAAGCTGATAAAATTTGGCGGGGGAACCAAAGGTTTCCACTTGAAATTTGTTGGACTGTTTTCCCAATTTGCCCCAGAAGCTGTTTAACATGAGTTTGGCTGAGGCGCATTTGGCAGGATTCCGTTCAATATGGTCATACTCCAGGAGGACTCCTTCATCGGAGTGATAGTTGTGAATATATTTTTGGCGTTTTTCTTTATCATCTCCTACGTCAGCAGGCCAGCCATGTGCTTTTTGTTTTACCTTGGGGAATTTATTGATGTAGTCGGTAGAGAGGATGGGAGAAGAGTCTGGAAAATGCCATATTTCATGAACTTTCGGAAGTTAGCATCCTTACATCAAAGCTTCTTCCAATTCGCGGGTGCACCAGGTGCCTTTCAAGGCTCGTTCTGTCTCGGTATGGTGACAGTAACGAGTACGATTGTGTATGAACTTGGGGAGCTGACTTTCCACGCAACTGCTGCACAAAGGAAAGGTTAATTTACCTCCAGTTCGATAGGGAAGAACGGGATGATACAATTCGGCAGGTGGCAAGATGGTGCAACTCACCAAACCAAAGTAAGAGGAAATGTCGGGGGAAGAAGGTTTGGTGATGATGCGAGGGTGCCCAATACGATAGCCGCAGTTGTTATTGACAAATGGGTAAAGAGACGTGAAATCAAGGTAGCGTATTTCTTCATCTTCTTCTGTATCGGCATACAGTTGAATGGCTTCTGTTCTACCACCGATAAAGACATCACGAGGTTCAAGACGAAGGACAATGCGTAGACCTTGCTCGAAGACTTGCACGTATTCGCACTCTTCCTTGAAGTCTTGCCATTTACATTCCCATTGGACAATGAGCTCGTAGCCGGCTTCGCGTATGGCTTCATAACGGGCAAGGATGTGCTGGTACACATCATCCATGGTTTGATTATCATATTTTGAAATTTGCAAATGATTAGTTTTAGGGCAGAACCACGGTCGCTTCGCCTAGGCCCTCGGTGAGAAGGATCAAGAGAAATGAGAAAGATAAAAAAGCTGGTCCGGTTGAGAATCTAACGTGAAATTCCAGCGTTTAATCAAAATGGAAGCGTTGAACACCAATTGATTCATTAAGAACGATTGAACTAAATATAAGAACAATTTAACTTATAGTGAGTTAAAATGAAAAGGAGCTGTTTCTGAATTCTTCCATAATAGCCTTTTTTTCTTCCTTGGTTACAAGAATACGCCAATAGATAATAAGTGGAACATTATTGCCTTTCTTTTCTCTCTTAGGGAAGGTTCTTGGTGTTTTGATCCATCAAAGGGCCCAATCGATCAACATGAAGGTAAACTAGTCGAAACTATATCTGCAATTATTTTGATTCTTCCAATATAAAGCCTCCCGCCAATTACCTGCTAGACGGAATTACGTCACGCATGTGGCCCACTTGGAGAAGAATTTAGTTCCTTAGGATCATATGGTCAACATATTGTCATCTGTTTGCTGTGGTCGGGAATACAAAGTCCATTGTGGGCTGTTCATAAATATATCTTAAATTGTTCTTAATGATTTCGGAAACAAGTTGTGAGAGTAGTAAGGATGTGATTACCGAGACCCCTTCAAGGCAGATATTTTCATCGGCATTAGTCATTACTTATTAATGCCTTTGTTTGTTAATAGACCTTTCCTAATCTCACCCTCCACTCGAACGTTGAGGCTTGGATGGACAGTTTCATACAAATCACCATATTTTGTCAGCCCAAGTCTGGGGTTGCTGCCCTTGCCCACAAGAATACGGGAACGTTTCATTCAAGTACAGTGTCCATCACAGGTTATAAGCGCATTAGCATGCTATTTACGGAATGCTGACTTTTTCTTGTTTGACCATTAGAACGAATCAACTGGAGATAATGGGCGAAATATCAAGCTAAAACCGATGAAAGCGTCTTCTAATGTGGGTACATGCATTCATACATAACGTTTATTTTGATTCGCATTTTTGTGAAATAGAACCGTTAACTGCTATATTTCCTAATATGAGGAAAGTATTGGTGGGAACGAACTTAGGTTTCCCAGCTAGTCTAAAGTCCCATATTCTGGATACTTTAACACAGAGAAAAGTACCGGTTAACCAGCACCTAACGCTTTTAAACTTAATTTGCATATATGGGGAAGCTTTTTATGGGTTAATTGTTGTGCTAATGAGCAGAAATGTAAACAAGGACGTGAACAGAGATTCCTCTAAAGTTGACCAATCAGTAACTTGGCAGTCAACACCAGACATCTAAATGACAGTCACTTACTCCAGCTAGCACACTTACTCATATCCAGATCCAGACCTTTCTTATAAATTGACCACAATTATAAAAATCTGGAAAAACATATCATTTTCCAGTTGTAAGAACCTTCTTAAAAGGGCATTCTGGTTGCCTTTTGGGGGAAATGAGGTTGATCTGGAAACGAAAAAAATAAGGATCGTCATTTTCACATGCCGGCAGGGGATGCAGTCAAGACTGTTCTAAGGTTTCGGTATAGCTTCGATAAGTTTCTTTCATGTAGGTTTGTCGCTGGCACTCTCCTGCCAACAGTTCTGATCGATGCTTCTCTTTTCATGTTTCAGTATTTTGGCAAGGTCTTTGTAACTTCATCCAAGTCTCTCTTGATTACGCATTCCTAAACAGAGCTGAGAGTTTTTAAACAGCTATTTTCTCTTTAGTCTGCTCATATTCAACCTATGAGCGTGTCTCAAGCAAAGTATTTTTTCAATGAGACTATCAGCCTCTGACGATAGGCCTGCGCTGCAGAAGATTTGCACATTTCGTGATCTTATTCTTTCAGGATATGCTCATTATGACTCTTAAATGCCTCATAATTTAAGCATGTAATTTCTTCACTTAGCTCCGATACATTGTCCATGGGCGGCCATCTCGGTTTCTTACGTACCGATGGGGCGGGCGTCGGGGTTTTACTTTTACATTGCATTCAAGATGACCGCCCGTTATGCAAAGCGCCCGATCTCGACGATTCTACAGAAAAATAGGGGACTGTGGACAGTCTATGTTAATTTTCTTCAGTCATTTGCTCGAATTATATCGCCCGATAATGTAGTTTGTTACGCATTAAAATGGTAAACCCAAAATGGAAATTTAAAAGTTTTGAACAATGGTTGTGATTTCACATTTTTTGATGACATTCTAGACAAATAAAGAAGTTACAGCAGCCTCAGAAGATCATGATAAATCAGAGAACTTGTCGAGATCCGCAAACATCTGATGGTGAATCCTGGATGTGCAATCATGCGTAGCAAGAGAAAGGTCCTTTCAGCGGCTTGAAGGTTAAAAACATGGCTCACTGTTGGTTACACTTAGGTGTTTGGGACGGAAAGTCACTATATTTGCCCATTTTAGTTGAGTTATATTTACAAAAACGTAAGCTCTTTTCTTAAACTTCGTACTTGTTTGTACTTTGTATGTTTTTACGGTTTTCACCATGTCTGAACATTCTCATTGAAGCTATAAAGCTGTATTATTATTAATAGATTTATCTCGCTCACTCGTGAATAAAAATCGTGCGCACTCACCAACCATGAAGTAATCTCTATGTACATAGCTATTTCTAATATGTGATACTAGTAAAATTTTTGTAAACGCATTGAGGTGCACTCAGAATAAGACCTGTTATTATTATTATTATTACATTTTAATTGCTACAATAGTTGTTTAGTCCTCCCATCTATTTTTAGTCAGTTTCCCTTGCCATTTCTCTTCTCCCAGTGTGTTCTTAAGCTTTTTTCCTCCTATTTCGTCACCATCCTCTGTGGTAGCCCTTGGGTTAGGATACTGTAAAGTCAGAGTTAAGTGTAGCTCTGAGGCATACTTTTCAGCATCTTTGATGATTGGGCGACACCCGGACTGTACTGCCTTCTCTTCAAACTTCCTCACAGCGCTCATGGTCGTATCTGGGTACTCAAATTACTTTACAGCCGCTTTGATCTTTGTGTTTTTACACTCCGCTTTAACTGATCTAAGGTCTCTTCCACCGTTCTTTCTTGAAATGTAGAGTTGTGCTACCAATCCCAGGGGGTGATTCCCACCGTTCTCCACGATAACTTTACGCGCTTTTCTATCCCGCGGAAAAAAAGCGTGACTGGGTGGCAAGAGTTGTTTTTCCCATACAAATCCCTCTAGATTTCGGCGGCCGTTGCAATCGCTTCTTTTGAGATATACGCCTGAAAATTTACAGGTTACCTAATTTTAACATGCTCTTTCAGTTCCTGCTAACAAAATTTCCAAAAGCAAACTATTTTCGAGTTTACAGAAAGTTGATCACGTGACCAACTATTGCAAAAGGCCTATTGCATTTCATACTCTCTTTTCGTCATTTTTACGTCGGTTCACAGCCTTTTTACTAACTTATGCTCTCTGAAACCTATCAGTAAGCAATTGACTCAGTTCTTCACGGAGGAAGGAGTTTCTAACCCACACAATTGAAGCCCCCTTCTTCGGTGCTATGTTCATTGCATTCACTGTTCTACATTAGAATAAAAGGAACACCAAACCTCACCCAATAATTTCGACTGCTGTACTTTTCCATGAATGCAATGAACAAAAAAACAAATGAAAGAAACGCGAATTTACTGGCTGTTCTGTAAATTGATTTTAGATGAGAATTGTGTGCGATTGTTAGTCCTTTTTGAAATCCACTGTAGTTATTTTCAAAACACTTGGGTCAAAAAACCATACCTCTTCGCTGCACACATACCGGAGATAGGTTATATAACGAAGTGCCCCGTGCCCCCCTCCCCCCAGAAAAAGAAATACCCTACCCTTGCAGCGTGACGAGTTCAAAAAAGTCGAGACAGCGAGTCAAACACTCTGGAAAAATTCGAAATGCTAAGACAAAGCAACGGGTATTCTAAATATGAGAACATTTGACAACCACACTGAGATAGGGTTTCAAACGGTCTAAACATCGGCTCTAAACGAATTTAATTAACAGAATTCTTTCTTCCAAGTAGCTCAAAGAAGGCTTTTCGAAGAACTGAGCTTCGCCAGCAGTAAATAATAGGGTTGCACAGTGAGTTAATCAAGACAAAAGATAGTACAACAGGCTTAAAACTGATAAACAGATTTCCAAAATAACTTTTAAGAAGAAGCGGCCGTAAAAGTGTATACACCAATAATGGTACAAAGGAAAATAGCACAAACCCAACGACGATGGAAGTAGTTATCGCAGCTTTCTTCTCCTCTAGGAATTTCTTCTTTGTGTCTTGCGAAACTTGCTCAGATTTGATTCGAATTATGTGACGACGGGTGACCAAGAAGACAGAAATGTGACCGTACGCAATCGCTGCAAAGCTGACACTCGTTATAAAAACAGCTGTCATGACAGACAGTACGGGGCGTGAAAATGAATCTAGGAAAACTGGAGGAAGAACTGCGATGACCCAGCAGGTGATAACAGCAGTGGCTACCCGACCCTTGGTTATGATATCTGCGTATCGTAAGGAATATTTCATTGCCAAATAACGTTCCAAGCTTAGCAATGCCAACAATGATAGTGATGCCGAGGACGGACTCAGAAAGAGGAATACTGTTTTAAGGTACTGAGTACAATATTCAGACACAGAACCTGTTAACAGCGATATTTCTCCCACGGCATAAATGGGTTGTACCAGAGCTCCTACCACCGTATCAGTCGCCGCCAGGGCACACAACAGCAAGTTGTACATGGTCTGAAGTATGGGCTTTGTTTTTACAGCAACTATCACCAGAAGATTCATGCAGATGGTCACTGGACAAGTCACTATGTTGAGGATTATGGCTACCAAAGTGGAGACATATTGGCAGGACAGGTGATATTCTTCTTTCCAAATACGACAGACCACACCCGTGGCCGCTGTCGCAGTTGATGTGTTGTTAGTTAAATCTGAAGAGTTCATCTTTCTAAGAATTTCCCACTCTCTCTTTTAACTTCGTATTTGTGGCTATAGAGAGTAATAGCCTTTCTAGAACGGTATCAAAATCAGCTCATCTAAAAAGGTAGGCAAGAACTGTAGATTCCATCTTGAAAGCTTACCACGCTTGCCTTTTCTTATTTTCTTGTGGAAATAATAACAAGTTTCCTAGAACGGCTTCAGATATCAAAAGAAGAAATCACAAACGCCTTCATATATCAAGTTTGCCTTTTCGTTTGAAATCGGGGATTAAATTAGGCCGACATAATTCAAAAGAGGGATTAACTTAGCAAATGCCCTATCTTTTTTAGAGACGAAAAACCTTTTTAATGACGAAGCATAGGAAGAAACGCTTAGAGGCACACGTTAATGTGTCATTCCTAAAATTCACCTTTCTTTCCCTTATAAGCAATGAAATCTTAGTTTACTTAAGACATTCTTACTAGCCCTTTTTTTGTTCAAACAAATTATGCAGTGTAAACAGAGGAATTTTAGTATCAGAGAACACAAGAAGACGCAAGATTGAACGCCCTGTCATTGAAAAAAAGAGAGAAGAGAGGTTCCCTCTTTTTAAAGGAATATCATGTTGTCCTTTGAGGACATGAACCGTTTTTTCTCTTTTTGTTTATGCCGTTACGCCATTACCCCGAGATTTTCCTAATTCAGGCTGCTGCTTAGGTTCACACGATCGTTATAAATAACAAAGACAGTTGATTAAAAACAGAGAACACCAAATTCGCAAAATAAAGAGGAAGTATTAACTTAAAGAAAGCTGATCTTAAATAGTATTACGTTTAACGAAACCTTGAATAATTTTTAATGAAAAAATAACAAATCATATTTACAGCCATTACACCAAGCTCTTGCGGAATATTCTAAGGTGAACACATAAATAGGAAAGAAAAACATGAAAAGAATAAAGGCCCGTAAGTTACACACAAATTTAATATTATTTGCCACAATTTTGCAATGCAATATTGCTCAAATAGCTTACGTAAAAGTCATCTAAGTATACAAGTTTCTATTTTGCACTGATACCACCAGAATGAGTCTGCATTACTGCATTGCAGTGAATTTGGCATTTGCGATGGAAAAGAGTCTTTGATAGTGTTAAATGCGGAACTAGTACAATTTAGCATAAACAGTATTAATGAGACCACAATTTCTACCGCTTTTTCCTATCCAGCTTACAGCAGGTGTCACCTTTTCTTTCTGATGTCTACCCTACCAAGGCGAAACAGACTATTACGAGCATACCACCAAAACTTTCTGCTCATAACAAAGTTAGTATGAGATTCGTCAAGTCAAGATACGACTGCCGCGCAATTTATTTCTTAGAGATGCAATTATAATGCCTAGATGTAAGAAGAGATTAATTTGTCACTCATTAGCTTTAGTTCTCGACGTTTTTTTCTCCCACAAGCAGGCCATTTACAATACCTATCAATTACAGTTCGGGTGATATGTCTGTTCACCAGTTATCGCAGTTTTTGATCATCACGTGGAACGTTTAATGTGCTAAATGTGGATACAGATGGCCACTCGGAGGATAGTTTAAGGAGGCGCAAAAAGGAAAAGCACAAATTGCAAAAAATTTATTCTTGGAGAGAAAAATAATTATTCATCTTCGTGTGAAGGGAAAATATTGGAACATTTTACTTTAGATACTTATTTACAAGTTAGCATGGCATAAAACAGACTTAGACTTATCATGACTTCGGCAACGTACACAAGAATCCGGATAGGCTAAAACGGCATACGTAACACGAATTCAGTGTGGTGTATCCGGTTTGGATTCTTCCACCCACACGAATACACTACGGCGATTTACATTTTAAAATTTGCCAACTACAAGCAAATGGGCAGGTGCAAATCGAACCCGCGATCCACCATTTCGTGATATTTTTGAATGTTATTGTAGCTATATCGAACGTACTGGCCGTATACCTTCATGGTTCCAACGCTTTTCTCTAGTAGGAATTTCAAAGAGAAATAACGAGGAAAAGGCTGTTTCGTCTGAAGCGATGATGAAACCGAACTTTTGCTAAAACTAAACAGCGGCTATAAGAAGTCGATGGAAATAATGGAATAATGGTTAGTTATAGCCTTAACAGCTTTATTTTCACTGTTTTCCCTTCCTGTCAGTAACAATTTCAGTGTACAGTGTACTGTCAGTGATAATGTCAGTAACTGTGCACACATTGTGGGTGGCTCCTCCTAAAATGTTCAGCAATTGGTATAGGATTTAATGGAGCCGAAACCAATTGTGGAATTGCACACATTTTAGGCATCTTAGTGATGAACAGTCACTGCTTGTAGATAATTTTACACGCAACAACAATTATTTGCGTTTCGTTCCCTTATAATGCTCATATGAATCTATATACCATTCCTATTTCATCAGCATCTTGTGACAGGTCCATCTCAACACTCCAAAATCTGAAGACTTACCACAGCAGGATTAGCTCAGTCGGCAGAGCGCTTGACTGCAGAGCGAGAGGTCACGGGTTCAATTTCCGGGGTCGGACCAACAACTCAGGGTCTTAAAATAACTGAGAAATGAAGGTACTCCCTTTGCACTGCAAGGGGCTAGGTCTTCGCGTGGCAAGGATGACCACGTAAAATGGCGTTCTCGTCTCCAGCAGGAGACGGAAAAATAGTGTCCCCATTTAGTACTTCCGTGCTAAATACATTGACACTCAAATAAAAGGCATTTTTTTTAGTTGAGAAACGCAATGGTGCAACACAGACTAAACGGATTAGCACTGATGTATGCTCCTAAAGAAATGGAATTAGACCTTGCAAAAATTATAGATTATTTTCCTCATTTACATCCCAGAAGAATGAGAATGGAAAATATTTTAAGTGCAAAATTTTGAACCAGACAGTCAGTAGTGTCTAGAGTAGTGTGAGTTCTGTTATGTCCCATCAGGATTAATATTGTAGTCCTTGAATTGATGGGAAACAGTACAGATACACATGGTGCTGTCTGTGATACAATTATATTAATAATATCTGGACAAAAAAACATTCTTCAATAGTTTTTAGAGTTTCTATTTCCACGACACTGGGTGTTCAATATTAGCTTAAATTCTCTCAGTCTTAGCTCAATGGACCACATCACTTCATACACTGATCATGATCTGTAAGGCTGAAAAAGGTAAGTATGATTGCAATTAACTTTTCATTTTTGCTATTACATTTTCATCAAAATGATCAATATAGTAATATTAAATTTTCATAATTTTTTCTCCTCCAGTCTCACTGTGACTGAGATTCCTGTTGCAGGGTTGTTTGCACTCCTGAAAGAATCCAAGAGGGCAGCCAGGCAGCACATCTACTACATCTACAATGGTAGCCCTAAATCTTCCTCATGTTAGACTCCTTAGACATAGAAAAGCAATTTTTTTGACAGAAAAAATCCTTTTGTTATCAATAGTATTTGCAGTATACCTCTATTTCTTTGTGTAATTAATACTGGCTGGTCTATGTCAATGATGTAAGTACGCAAAGGATGTTTTGTTTGTTTCTGAGGAGGTATTGTTAATGTGTCTGAATGACTTGATGTGCTCTCAATGGCTTGAATTCTGAGAGCACCAAATGCAAAAAACATACGAAATGCTAAAACAAAGCAACAAGTATTCTAAGAATTCTAAACATGAGAAAATTTGACAACCATTCTGCCAGGGTTTCAAACGGTCTAAACATCGGCTCTAAACGAATTTACTTAACACAATCTTTTTCAATGAACCGTTTATCCAGAATTCTTTCTTCCAAGTACCTCAAATAAGGCTCTTTGAAGAACTGAGCTTCGCCAGCAGTAAATAATAGGGTTGCACAGCGAGTTAATCAAGACAAAAGATTGTAAAACAGGCTTAAAACTGATAAACAGATTGCCAAAATAACTTTTAGGAAGAAGCGGCCGTAAAAGTGTATACACCAATAATGGTACAAAGGAAAATAGCACAAACCCAACGACGATGGAAGTAGTTATCGCAGCTTTCTTCTCCTCTAGGAATTTCTTCTTTGTGTCTTGCGAAACTTGCTCAGATTTGATTCGAATTATGTGACGACGGGTGACCAAGAAGACAGAAATGTGACAGTACGCAATCACTGCAAAGCTGACACTCTTTATGAAAACAGCTGTCATAATAGACAGTACGTGGTGTGAAAAAAAATATAGGAAAACTGGAGGAAGAACTGCGATGACCCAGCAGGTAATAACAGCAGTAGCTACCCGACCCTTGGTTATGATATCTGCGTATCGTAAGGAATATTTCATTGCCAAATAACGCTCCATGCTTAGCAGTGCCAGCAATAGCAATGAAGCTAGGGACGGGGTCAGAACGAGGAGTACTGTTTTATGATACTGAGTACAATATTCAGTTAACGAGGAACCTGTTAACAGCGACATTTCGTCCACGGCATAAATCGGTTGTATCACAGCTCCTACCACCATATCAGTCGCTGCCAGGGCACACAACAAAAAGTTGTACATGGTCTGAAGTCTGGGCTTCGTTTTTACAGCAACTATCACAAGAAGATTCATGCAGATAGTCAATGGACAAGCCACTATGTTAAGGATGATGGCTACTAAGGTGGAGACGTAGTTTTCCAGATGATATTCTTCTTTCCAAATACGACAGACTACAGCTGTGGCTGTGTTTCTCGCAATTGTCGTGTTGTTGGTTAGATCTGAAGGGTTCATCTTTCTATAAATTTTTGCGCTCTCTCTTTTGACTACACATTTGTGGCCAGAGACTAAGAGCCTTTCTACAATGGTATCAGAATCAGCTCATCTAAAAAAGGTAGGTTAGATCTGTAGAATCCTTCTTGAAAGTTTACCACGTTTGCCTTTTCTTGTGGAAATAATAACAGCTTTAATAGAACAGCCTCAAAAGAGGGATTAACGTAGCAAATGCCCTTCCTTTTTTAACGACGTAAAACCTTTTTAATGTCGAAGCATAGGAAGAAATGTTTGGTGGCACACGTTAATGTGTTATTCCACTAAATTTTATCTTTCTTTCTCCCATAAGCAAAGGCATTTTAGTTTACTTGAGACATTATTACAAACTCTTTTTTGTTAACGTTTTAAGCCCTAATAACCACCTACAAATTCTCCAAACTGATCTCTATGCATTTCCTTAAAGAATGAGTAGAGAGAATTTGATAAAAGATTAAGGCATTTTCTCTTAAGTAATCATTTTATTAATTCTCATAACCTCATCTCTTGACAGTGTATGGATATTGTTTTGAGATAATTGATGTTGGTCACTATTGGGACTTAAAGGGTTGAAACAAATTATACAGTAGGAATTTTAGTATCAGAGAAGGCAAAAAGACGTAAGATTGAACGCCCTGTTATGAAAAGTAAATAAAAAATAAAGGTTCCCTCTCTTTAAAGGAACATCATGTTTCCCTTTGAGGACATAAAGCGCTTTTTTCTCTTTTTGTTCATGCTGTTACGCCTTTGCCCCGAGATTTTCGTAATTCAGGCTGCTGCTTAGGTTCACACGATCGTTATAAATAACAAAGACAGTTCATTAAAAACAGAGAACACCAAATTCGCAAAATAAAGAGGAAGTATTAACTTAAAGAAAGCTGATCTTAAATAGTATTACGTTTAACGAAACCTTGAATAATTTTTAATGAAAAAATAACAAATCATATGTACAGCCATTACACCAAGCTCTTGCGGAATATTCTAAGGTGAACACATAAATAGGAAAGAAAAACATGAAAAGAATAAAGGCCCGTAAGTTACACACAAATTTAATATTATTTGCCACAATTTTGCAATGCAATATTGCTCAAATAGTTTACGTAAAAGTCGTCTACGTATACAAGTACTTATTTTGCAATGATACCACTAGAATGAGTCTGCATTACTGCATTGCAGTGAATTTGACATTTGCGATGGAAAAGAGTCTTTGAAAGTGTTAAATGCGGAAAAAGTACAGTTTGGAATAAAAAGTATTAATGACGCCACAATTCCTACTGCTCTTTCCTATCCAGCTTACAACACGTGACATTTTTTCTTTCCGATGTCTACTCTACAAAGGCGAAACAGACTATTACGAGCACACCACCAAAAAAATTTCTGGTCATAACAAAGTTAGAATAAGAGTCATCAAATCAAGATACAATTGCCGCGCAATTTATTCCTTAGAGGTACCATTATAATGCCTAGATGTAAGAAGAGTATAATTTGTCAGTCATTGGCTTTAGCTATCGACGTTTTTTTTTCTTCGACAAACCATAGTTATTAGAGGAGACTGGTTATGAAAAGCTGCAAACATCAATGATAAGAAACACAGTGTTGCAGTTTATGTTGGAAGTACCGTGAAAGTGCACAATCCTTTGTTTTCTGTTGGCAAATTGTTACGGAATAAATTAATGCAACGTTTTTATTGGTCAATACGATCAAAATGATAGGAATTCTTTTGAACGTTGTGCACTTTCAGGTCCACAAAAACATATAACAAAGGAGTCTGACGGGTTTCATAACCATTCCACTCAATTAACTATGGACAAACATGCTATTTTTAATACCTATGATCACGATTTGGGTGATATATGTGTTCATCAGCTCTTGCATTTTTGATGGTGGAAAGTTTACATCAGTAAAGATATAATGGAAGTGTTAAATGTGGATGCGGATGGCCACACGGTGGATAGTTTAAGGAGGCGCACATATACTATTGAAAAAGGAAGAGCACGAGTTGCATTATTATTAGTTATTCTTAGACAGAAAAATAACTCGTCACCTTCGTGTGGCGGAAAATATTGGAACATTTTACTTTAGATACTTATTTACAAGTAAGCATGGCGTAAAACAGACACATCATGACTTAGGCAATGTACACAAGGATCCGGATAGGCTGAAACGGCATACGTAACACGAATTCGGTGTGGGGTATCCGGTTTGGATTCTTCCACCCCCACGATTACACTACTACGATTTACATTTAATTTGCCAACTACTAGCAAGTGGGCAGGTGCAAATCGAGCCCGCGAACTGCCATTTCGTGGCATTTTTGAATGTTATTGTAACTATATCGAACATACCGGCCGTTTACTTTCACGGTTCCATCCGGTTTCAGTCGTCTAATAGTTAACCAACAAGAAAATAACTTCATGTATTTATCTATTTTTCTATTCCACCACGGAATAGGCTGCAATCATTAATTCAAGCAGCTAGATAATGTATAAAAAGCATGATCAACATATCTCTACGATATTGTGTGTCATCTTTCCACAAGTACAGTACTTCTATTTCAGTGCGATAGGCAGTCAAAATACATTACGTGCATTGAGTACATTTTGGAAACTGGAACAACTTGCTATAGCATTCAGAGTGTACCGCACTGTAGCGGAAAGATTCTCTCGAATACTACAAAGTAGTCAATTGCGAAAAAAAAATCGTGATGCGAGACTGTTAGGGCCAGTTATTTAAACAGCCAGTGTTTAACAATACCGCGTTCTAAGCCATTTTCAGTTATCGTGAAAAGGTTCATGAAAGCATAGAGGGAAGACTAGAAAGCATTTGTTTTCTTAAAATAACCCACTATGGGAGAGATCTGGAGATCCAAAGATTTCCTAAACCGAAGTCTAAGTTACACTTCAGTTTAAATAACCGACCCTTAAAGTCTTCGAGTAGACGTTTCCCGAAAATTCTCGCATTCCCTTAACATGAGGTCTGAGAATTGCTCGCTTCTTTCTTCTCTCTACACGAACAAGTTATCTGAGCTGTCAACCTTTGGTAACCAAACTATATCTTTCATCAAAACTTATAGACCCTGTTTGCAATCAGTCACGTCAAGAGAGCCAAGGGGTCCTTTAATAGAGTTAAACCTGGATTTTGGCATCCAGAAAAACTGTCCGTTCCATTGAATAGAGGTGTCCCTTCAAGAGAGTTATCAGGACTATTTCCAAGAATGCATCAACAATAAACAAGGACAATAGTTCTGGTCACTGAAAAGTTTTAAATAAGACCACCGACAAACCGCGATAATAAATCTGGGAGTACACCCCCAAGTCTCTCATCTGAGTACGTTTACATAACAATCCTACATCAACTGCAAACGCCCTTAACGATTATGCTAAATCTATCGGGTCATATCTAGGTAATGCTAAAAGAGATCGATTCACCACCAGTACGTTTCCTTCCTATTTCACTTCATCACAAGCCGGCAGTCTTCAGGTTCTCCGACATAAAACAAAGCTTCGTGCGGAAATACCTAAGCTCTCTAAAAAATTAAAAAGGCAATTGACCTTGATAAGAACTATCAGCGCTCGCCTTCTCAAATATTCTGCTGATGTCATCACACAGTCTTCAATTAGTTCAATAAATCACTCACTTTTGCTGTTTTGCCGATATGCTATATGGAAAAAGGGAAAGGTGGTTCCAGTTTGTAAATCTCCATGGTGACCGAACCAGTGCAAGTGATTACAGACCAATTATAATGTTACTAGTTCTAAGCAAGATCATCGAGAAAGCTGCTCATCCTCGGCAGCACAACTAACTCAATGAGAACACCCTTTGGCCCCTGAAGAGTTTGGTTTTCGCCCAAACTTGTCGACTAAGGTGGCCCTTTCGCATCTGACTAAGAACATCCTAGGTAATATGGACAATGGCTAACAGGTCACCTCCATCGGAAACAGTCTCTCGTCTCCGAGGTCAGTCACAGTCGGGGTGCCCCAAGGAAGTGTACTGGAACCACTTTTGTTCATTACATACGTTAATGATCTACCTCAGTGTCTCAAGTATTGCAAGACCATTCTCAACGATGATGATACGTTTATTTATTATTCTGCCAAATCAACCAGGACGTAGAGAACTGTCTAAACAAGGACTTTGAGTCTACTTCGCTTTGGCTACAGTCAAATGTCCTTACTCTTAACTGTTCTAAATCAAGATTTCTTCCATTTGTGAGTACGCACCGTATAAAGTCGTGAGGCGTGGTTGCTATTCGTATCAACGATATCCGCTGAAGAAGCTACAATACATCTTTCAATTACTTGGTTTCAACCCTAATGAAGATCTGCCCTGGGGTGATCATCTTAAAAATATCATGAGGAAGACAAACCAGCCACTAAAACTTGTCAGAAGAGTTATGGGAACTTAAGAATCATCATTCTCTAATGCCTCCTGCTTTTGAATACGGTAACATCAATTGGGGTGACAAAAACAATGCTACCTTAATGAACGATCTTCAAATCAAACAAAAAAAGGCAGCTACAATCTTCTTCAACAAGGCGAAATACATCTTGCGCTACAGATGCTCTTGAGAACTTCAAATAAAGACGTTTAGATCAAAGACGACACATGCACCGATGCGTTTTTATTTTTGGATGCTTGGATAACATCATTGACTTCCATTTCAATTTTTAGCATGGCACTACCTTTCATAATTACCATACCCGCAAATGTACATTTAATAAACTACATTTTCCAACTCCCAAAACAAACTTGGGAAAACAAAAACCAACATACCAGGCATCAAACGATTTCAACATCTTAATCCAGAAATACAGGGAACTAAATCGATTTTATTGTTTCAGATTACAAAGAAAGTGTTTTTATCGTAGTATTTTGTACATTTCTATCGTTACAACGTTATATAATAATCCTATGTATAGTAACGTGGTAATTTTATCCTTTTGTCTTCTACATTTTTAATACTGCTTCTAAATTTTAGTTCTTTATTTTACATTTACTTCTTTATTTACTTTTATAAAGGGCTGTTCTCTTTTTTTTTTCCCGTCCCCCCAACGGAGTTAAAAGAGATACCCTACGCTTGCCGGTTTCAACGAATCAATGCTTTCTTTTAACAGTGAGTCGAACACTCCGAGAGCGTAAGAAATGCGGAGACAAAAGTGCTATCAACTATTTTCAACACGTCGCAAAATTTGACAACCAGCTTTACAGAGGTTTTCATACGTTCTAAAAGAATTTCCTTAAAACAGTCTTCTTCCATGAACCGTTTATCCAGAATTCTTTCTTCCAAGTAGCTCAAAGAAAGCTTTCCGAAGAACTGAGCTTCGCCAGCAGTAAATAATAGGGTTGCACAGCGAGTTAATCAAGACAGAAGATAGTAAAACAGGTTTAAAACTGATAAACAGATTTATAAAATAATTGTCAAGAGGAAGTGGGCGCAAAGCTCTATACACCAATGATGGTAGGAAGGAAAATAGCACAAACCCAACTACGATGCTAGTAGTTATCGCAGCTTTCTTCTCCTCTAAGAATTTCTTCTTTGAATCATGGGAAACTTGCTCAGATTTGATTCTTATCATGTGACGTCGGGTAACAAAATAGACAGAAATGTGACAGTAAAAAATCACTATAAGGCTCCCACTCGCTATGAAAACAGCTATTATCAACGGAAGAAGAGGGATTGTCGATGAATATAGGAAAACTGGAGGAAGAACGGCAATGACCCAGCAGGTAATAACAGCAGTGGCTACCCGACCCTTGGTTATGATATCTGTGTATCGTAAGGAATATTTCATTGCCAAATAACGCTCTATGCTCAGCAATGCTAGTAGCAATAGTGATGCGATACAAGGGCTGAGAAAAAGGAGTGCTACTCTGGTATACTGAGTACAATATTCAGTTAACGAGGAACCTGTTAACAGCGACATTTCCCCCACGACATAAATCGGTTGTATCACAGCTCCTACCACCATATCAGTCACCGCCAGGGCACACAACAGCAAGTTGTACATGGTCTGAAGTCTGGGCTTTGTTTTTACAGCAACTATCACCAGAAGATTCACACAGACGGTCATTGGACAAGTCACTATGTTGAGGATGACGGCTGCTAGCGTAAAGACGTAGTTTTCCTTGTGATATTCTTCTTTCCAAATACGACAGGTTTCAGCCGTTGCCGCTGTCGGAATTGATGTGCTGTTGGTTAAATCTGAAGAATTCATCTTCCCGTAAATTTACCACTCTCGCTTTTAACTATATCTTTGTGGCTAGAAAGTAATAACTTTTCTCGAACGGTATCAAAATAAGCTGATCTGAAAAAAAAAAAGATTTACAACCGCCTATTTATACAAGTTTTCTCCGGCTGAAATTGTATTGTTTTAAATCGGAGATTACAATAAGTCCCATTATTCAAAAAAGGAGATTAATTCAGCAAATGGCTCTTTTCGTATTCTTATTTTTTTTGTAAAAAAAAACTCATATGATATAATTGCGAACTTTTTGTTGCGTGAAATAAATCACAATTTCAAGTGCCATTCAACTTCAATGGATATTTCTGCCATAAGCAATGACATAATTTACAAAATCAATCAGAGCTTACCACTGATATGCAGTTTTATTGAAAATAGAGAATGGAAAAACAAAAGTTCCCTCTTTTTAAAGGAAAATCAAGTTTGCCTTAACGAAGTGAAGTGTTTTTTCTTTTTGCTCTCCTTATTCATGGCGTTAGGCGTCCATTGACCGGAGATTTTCTTAATTTAAACCTTGAAGCTAACAAAGAGGAGTTCATTAAAAACCGAGGAGACCAGATTCGCCAAATAAAGGGCAGGTATTAACTTCAGCAAAGTTAATCTATCTTACATTTTTCGTTTAACGACATGTAATGCACGAAAATTAACGATATGTAGATCGAAAAACGGACTATTAGCGCCAGAGAAAAGTTGAGAATGCACGCCCTGTCATTGAAACAACAAAATGGAAAAACAAAAATTCCCCCCGTTTAAAGGAAAATTACACTTCCTTGTAAGGACGAGAAGCCTTTTCCCTTCTTATTCACGCCGTTCCGTGCATTCACCAGATATTTCCTTATTCAATACTTGAAGCTGCTGCTTAGGTTCACACGTTTGGCATGGATAACAAGAACAGAGGAGAGCAGACTAGAAAAATGAAAAGGAGGTATTAACTTCAAGAAAGTGAATATCCTTTTTGTTTAAGCAAACATGAAATATTGCGTTTCACTCAACCTTGAAAATCCAGCTGGTTCTGCTCGTGAAATCGTTTGTCAGCGTGAGCGTTAAACTTGGTTTAGACCCACAACAACAACAACAACCTTATTTTGCATTTCTCTTATCTTTATAGGTTTAACTTTGTATATTTACGTTTTTCAGTTAATTTTTAAGATAACAAAAAATATGTGTTAAGATAAGAGCCTAAATGAAACGCGAGATTTTCGAGTTAGTCTGTAGACATATAATGTATATATTTGAAATGTAGCTTAATTGATAGAAAATACATGAAAGACAGAAAAATAAGGAATAAATAAAAATATAATAGATGAGCATAAGCTAAGGCGTAGCAAGAATGGCTAAGCCAAAAACAAAACAACGAACAAAAAAGAAGCAAACAAAAAGAGCACAGCATAAAGTATACACACAACAGTTGAAGAAAGAGGTGTTAGTTGGTGTAAGATGTCAGAAGAATTTTGCTTAATATATAGATTGGCTTTTGAAGCATATCTTGCGTTATGTGAGTAGATGTTTTTGGCATATCGGAAGCAACTATTAGAGATCGATGGGAGCTCTTGTTTATGCCATTTGTGGATAAATCTTAATGTTTAATAGTTTATATATATGATTAACAGTTAGAATGTCTGTACTGTCGCAATTTGTAATAAAACCATCTTACTTTGTAATACCTTTCGCAACTTGTAATAAACCGTGCCGAACTTTGTAATAAAAAAGCTGTTGCAATTTGTAATAGCTGTCCATCGCACTTTGTAATAAACTAAGCTGTCGCAATTTGTAATAATTCCATCGCACTTTGTTATAAACTTAAATTATTTTCTTCGGTCAAACATGCATGTCTTCCGTTATAGAACGGTTTTCACTTGACTGTTGAAAGGGATTGGTTTTGGTTTTTGGTTTTACTACGCCCTTTGGTTGGCTAGTGTATTTACTTTGGTTTTGGTTTTACAACAGTCAAGTGAAAACCGCTCTAAATATTTCTGCCTTAATTAATCACGAGACCAACGAGAATCGCTTTAACATGAAAGACATGAAACTTCCTGTGACCTGTCACCAAAAAAAGGATATGAATCATTTCATATACTTGAATTCAGAAATATCTGAATAACAAAAGAAACATTTAACAACAGAAAATTCATGAATAACCGGGCATTCGTCGTCGTAATCCATGTTTGCTTGCTACGTGACACGTGAAGTCTTCGGGGTTGAGGCGGGGAGGGGGGGGGGGATAATCTCCCATATACATGTCTGGGCTAGGTAGGTAAATACCGCTGAGGATCTCATAACATTAATTACATTGTTGGCTTTGTCATCATCATCAATCTTTATTTACACACGAAATCGTATCATTTTACATGGTCTTCCTAGGAGTCGTGTTTAAAACTAGACTAAAATACTCTAAGGAACTATTGACTATAATGTTAAAAATACAAAAACTTACATTATTAATAATAAGAGTTACAATGGGTCATGGTGTATTAGAATAATCTTTCCCATGAATTGAAGTTTTAAAAACATTTAAACTAGGCAGTTTTCTAATCTCTGAGGGAATCTTGTTCCACAGAACAGATCCTCTGTAGTGTAGGCTCCCTTTTGCAGACTCAGTTCTGGGTCTGGGGACAATAATTTAACTCAGAATTTCTAAGATTGTGTGAATGTACATTTGAGGTGTTGGTAAAGATCCGCCTCAGATACGACGGGGAAAGATTATTATGGATTTTATACATTGTCACAGCCAACTGTTTAAGTCTTACATATTCTAGCCTTTCCCAGCCAAGCTCATCCAACAAAACACTTGAGCGAACGTCATAGTTAGAAAAGGGGTTCAATTCCCGGGGTCAGAGCAACAACTCAGGGTCTTAAAATAACTGAGAAATGAAGGTACTCCCTTTGCACTGCAAGGGGCTAGGCCTTCGCGTGGCAAGGATGACCACGTAAAATGGCGTTCTCGTCTCCAGCAGGAGACGGAAAAATAGTGTCCCCATTTAGTACTTCCGTGCTAAATACATTGACACTCAAGTAAAGGGCATTTTTCTTAGTTGAGAAACGCAATGGTGCAACACAGACTAAATGGATTAGCACTGATGTATGCTCATAAAGAAATGGAATTAGACCTTGCAAATATTATAGATTTTTTTCCTCATTTACATCCTAGAAGAATGAGACTGGAAAATATTTTAAGTGCATAATTTTGAACCAGACAGTCAGTAGTGTCTAGAGTAGTTGTGAGTTCTGTTATGTCCCATCAGGATTAATGTAGTCCTTGAATTGATGGGAAACAGTACAGATACACATGGTGCTGTCTGTGATACAATTATATTAATAATATCTGG